ATAAAAACTATTTTATTCTGTAATCAATATATGACTACTACACTACCGGTTTAAAAAGTCAAATAGTACAGAATATCTATCAATATACCTAAGTTAATTTTAATTTTTTAAGTGCTCATTTTAAGAAAATTGTGTTGAAGATCCATTATTTCTAAAATAAAAAAACATAAGATTCTCGTTGATGAATTTATACGTGTCATAAAAAGCTGTACGGAAATTACCAATGCATCTTCCAATAATATAATACAAACACTTATGAATCTTATTTGGTACATATGTAAAATATTCGATGGGCATATGTTACATGCCTTTCAAGACCGAGTCAATTATTACAATACGGATAAATTAATATTTTTCATTTTATGCTTTATCATGTACAAGAATAAAAAAAACTTATAAAATGAAATAAAAGATAATAGATAGTAAATGTAAAAAATAATTGTTGATTAAATTAAAGTAATAATATGTTGTATAATAATTGTTTAAATTAAATAAATTACACATTGGTTAAATATATTGAACTATACTGTACATGTGAATTATTAATGAAAAATATTTAGCAATTCTTCTTGTAGATCAAATAGCACTAATATTTGATAAATTTAACGGTTAATTGAAATATAATGACCAAATAGTATTTATAAAAATCGATGCTTTTTGGAAAGCCGACATACACTGCAATCGTTATCATATCTACATATTTAGTTATAATATCAACAGTAGTCACATTGTCATATTAATTTTGTACAAATTATAATAATCGTTTATTTCAAATACATATTTCGACACATAAATACTATAAAAATACTTAAATAAATTAAATACCAAAGACAGTGATTTTTTTTTTTGTTGGCTTTCATATATAGATACATTTTTTTCTTTGTTAAATTTATAATAAAAATATTTTTTTTTATACATAACATATGTGATATAAGATTTATTCAAGGGCGGTAGAAATATTTTGGGTTCTTTAAGCGGAAAACCTATTGATTTACGTTTTTTCATGCACTGTTTTTTATGATTTATAATCGCCACCATTTGACGTTTTACAATGAGTGTCGGAAAAATCTACACGGTGTTTCTCGTTGATATGTAAAATGATTTGAAAAAAGTTTTCATAACAAGTACATAATATAGTATACATAAAATATTCTAATTTAATATTAGTGTATATTTAGGTACATCAAATGAATAAACAGAAATATCTAATATAAAACGAAAAACATTTTAAGAAAATTATAGCGCATAAAATCCCTACCACAAATACTAAATACTTAAATAATTATTCATTAATCGACTACTTTAATGAGTAGGTATCCAAAAGATATAACACACCTATACAGCAAAACCTTTGTAAACGTGTACATACATCCTTTGTCGGTTCACGTTTTATATATTGATTGAAAACACTCATCAATTAAAACATTACTACATAAAGCAACGTATAGTCGTAGGTATATGTTTTATACATATGAATTTTTATTATTTTTCCATTAGCCTATTTCTTGTGACGTTATCAGCTACAAGTTTAGTTTTCTTGGAATTAGTAAAGGCATTTTTTTTTCTATTTTTTTTTTTTAGTTGGTTACTTTATCTGTAAATGATTTTCATTTGGTGAATATTTATTTGAACACTATTATAACTATGATAAAAGACATATGTTAGTTTATGAAAATATAATTTTATTTTATCTCAAATGAATTATTAATTAAATATTCTCCAACGAATGCGATATAAGACTCAGATAAAAAAAAGCATAAAATAACACTTTACAAATACTCCAAGTGTTTAATATTTATTACGAATTGTGAACTACAGAAATTTTAAAGTCACCTCAAGAATTTTTTTAACTATAAATATTTATCAGAAGTAAAAAATGTATTGATCAGTAGGTCTGGGATTTATATGCAATAAAAAATTATATAATATGAATTTAATTTACCAAAATATGCAAACACAAATTTTTATTATTTATCATATCTTGTTATTATTACACTAAAAATTATTTTATACTAATATAGTTTATAATTCATACTAATGAAGTTAAGTACTTCTGTACTATCACACAATATAAATACTAGATACCTGCATGGGCCAGGCCCTTAAAATTTAAATTTAGGCCAAGTCGGGCTTTTTTAAACGAGACACAAACCCCGAGCCAGGCTTTTAAATTTTTAATCCAATACTGTCCGGGCCGGTTATTTTCAAAATGTAAAAAAAAAAAAATTTTACAAAAATTTAATTTTAGTGATAACACATTCATTAGGACCGAACCCGGTTTTAAAAAATATCTTTAAACCGGACCGGGCCAGGCTTTTATTCTTTAATCACAATTTCGGGCCCAGCCGGGCTTTGAAAATATCCATAAGTCTTTAGACCCGTTTCTTCACAGCCGAACGTTCAAACGCAGCGTTTTTCAACTTACATTGTTTAAGTTCATATACGCTGATCGCAAAAATCCATATGCACTCTCATCAGTTCAGCGCGTATGAACTTAAATAATGTAATTCAAAAACGTCGCGGACGATACACGCGGCTGTGAAACGGGTTTTATATGTTAGCAGAAATTCAGGACCGGGCCTAACATTTTTTACCCGTGCAGACTTTAAATAAATACATCGTTAAATAATTTGTAGATATTGGGTTGTCCGACCAAGATAAGATTAGATATGTAGTATATTTACGACGATTCGAAAAATAAACGTTCATTAAATAAATACCATTTAAAATTAATAATATTATAAAAACTTGAAAATTTAAGATTAAAAATTAACAAAACTAATAAGATTCTTAAAAATCTTTAAATATATAATTATATGTGATACGTTTAAAATATGCAAACATTTATAAGAAAAATGGTTCTATTTAATCGGAAGTATACCAAATCGTGAACGTACTGACAACCAATAAATTTGGTCTTAAGGAAAATACATATAAATGCATATAAATCCTATCCCTAGTGATCAGTATTTTGAATTAGATTTTAATATACTATTAATGATACTATATATAGTAGAAACTATAAGCATTATTAAACTATCATAATGTTTTTATAACTATTCGTGATTTATATGTTTATAATATGTATCGAAGATAAAATCAACATAGTCATCCCATTTCTAAAACAATCTTAGGAAACCACTGTATTCATTTACCTATATGTAGCTAATAAAAATAAAATGATAATATGTGGCTATTAAAATGGTATTATATTTTAATTTTTAAATATTAATGTTGACATGTTTTCTTAAAATATCTAATTATTTTTTTTTAATATACTAATCAATATATTTATCTGGTTCTCACGGTTTAAATTACTTATTGTTATGATAAATAAAAATAATGGGTAGAAATTAACCAGAAAAAACACATTTTTTGGATTATAATAAAAACTGAATGGAACACAATATTACAGTTGACAAAATACATTATGTTTCATATTTTATTGACATATAATAACGTTGAGTACCTACACAACTACTTTAAACCGTAACATTTTTCGACACCGTATTTTCAAAATAATTAAATTTGTTTCCAACTTGCGAAGGTTGCCCTCAAATATTATAATAACTGTTAACCGTGATTTATTTAAAAAAATTTGATACGTAAAGGAAAAATTTAATGTTCTGGAAAAATGAAAGCCGAATAATTCGATTATGACCGTTTTGTTAATTCGTTTCTGTATTATTATAGTTTAACATTATTATTCAGTGTGAAAAAATAACAGCTAACACCAAGACATCGTTAAAAGAATATGGCACGGACTGGAGGGACACCAATTCATGACGTATAAAGAGCGTACAATTACAGTAAAATGTATAGGCGTTGAAACCCTTTTCTATTATTTATGACAATATTATAGAGGAGACGTACAAATTAAAAACATTTAAAACGGCTTCCACATAATATGCACGGTTTCAACGAACAATTTTAATTTAATTTTCCCATCTATACTTAGAACTCGATAAAGCCCTGCAAATAGCATTCTCATATCCATATTATATTCATCATATACCGTGCGTGGTAAAATAATTGTTCGGCAATAATAATACAATATAAAGTCATATACGCACAGAATTCGACTGCAACGTTATTAACGGTGGCAAATTCTGTTTTCCATCATAGAGATATTGCATTATGTACACATGCTGGCAAAGTGTTTTGAACTTAGACGCACACGATTATCCATAATATAAACATTGTTGTATGTTGTTTATGTGTTCGTTCAATCGATATCATTGTACTCCGGTTATGAGACGGTATAATACTTGTATGTTATTATATTTCAGCGGTAAAAACGTCTGACACTCATAACGAAAAACAAATAATTGTATTCATTAGAAACAAAAAAAAAATAATAAATATAAAATGACGGTCGCTCGATAAATACAGTCGAAACCAATGACGATCCGAACATTTTTTGACTGTTCTTGTAATACTCTTTCCCACGCCCATTTCCGGTATCACTCCCGGGTACGTTGAATTTCGTGATTTCAAAGGCCCGCGGAAACGTTCTATTCCGACGGGCTCGGTTCAAATCGACGACATAGTAATTATTATGCGGATGTCACAAGACGACGATAACGAAAACCAACGTTCCGGGCCTATGTTAGTGTTCGCCAAACCGCCCGTGCGCGTTTCCGTATGAGCGTACAGCGATCACGTCGCGTTCGAAGAACATCGGTCGTCGTTATCGTCACACGATCATAAAATCATAAAATTGTATGACATGCACAAGACGACGTTATTATTGTTGCGCGCACGCACACGTTGGTATTACGTCCAACGCAGTTTTAAGCGAAGGCGGCGGAGAACGCGTAGCAGCGATACTTGGCGAGAGAGAGAGAGAGAGAGAGAGAGAAGAGAGAGTGTGTGTGTGTGAAAGAGAGCGAGAGAGAGCGAGAGGGAGTGGGAGAGAAAGAAAGAGAAAGAGAGAGAGTGAGAGAGAGCGATATGGAACGTCGAAAAAAAAAACACGCGTGGCGGTGAAAACGGCTACATCAACCGGTGCGCACCGGAGGCCCGTCGAGGAGAGCAGATGGAACGGAGATAGCGGTCTCGTCGAAAACTTCGTTCCCGTGAGTCGCGGCACAGAACTCGGTCGGATATGCCGGCAACACGACATCGTAACGTTTTTACTGCTGAATACAGCGGCTCGGGGATACATAATATCGTTGTATTTTAATACATTTTTTTATTTTTTTTTTTTATTTCCAGCAAGAGTGTATCGCGCAACGTTATACAATAGTATACGCGCGGCAATCGTCCGACGCCGCCGTTACCGATATCGGACGATCACCGCCGCCGCCGCCGCCGCCGTTGTAGGACCAATGAACGATCGCCGTCGGGTCCTCCCGTCGACGTCGTATCCCCGCCACCGGTTTTCCCGGCGAGACCCTTCGGTGGCGGCGACGACGGCGACGACAACGGCGATGACTACGCCGTACGAGCGGCGGACGAACATTCCGTCGACGGATCCCGAACGAACGCAACTGCATACGCTCGCGCGCACTTACCGACGCACATCGCCGCATTCTGTCCGCTGCATCACGACGACCGCGACGTCATGACCGACGAAGACGGACCACCCGCGCTTTCTGCCGCCGATGCCGAGCAGCTCGGCGAACAGCTGTTCCGCAATCAGGTCTCGCCGCGCACCGTCACCGAAGGCGGTCACGTGGGCCATCTGGTTCGCGGCTCGACCGGCAACGGACAAGTGGACTACAGCCCCCGGTGCCCTGCGTGCAACCCGTTGCTCTTCGACGGCGCAAGTGTAAGTAATCAAAACCGTTCTCGCCGTCCCCGTCGCTTGTCGACAACCCTATATTGTTATGGTGTACGAACACGGAGCTTTTTATTTCACGCTTATAACGATCGTATAGCGTTCTAGTCCTGTTCGTATTCAATACCATTATTATTACTATCATAACCAGGACTCATAACTTATAACTCTAAAAAAAGTAGTTATAAGCTCTATAATAAGCTATTAAAAATATTCATATTAGCGCTTGAATATGTAGTAAAAATATAAAAATGAGCAAAAATAAATATAACATAAAAATAAACAATTTTCATTTATTATTAAAAAAAACGTATGTATAAAAAAACAATTTTCACGTATCATGTATAAAAAAAAAAATTTAAACTTATATTGTTAAAGTTCTGATCGCGTCGCTATATGATACAAAGAAATATATAATTTAAACCAAAAGAAAAATAATTAGTTAATTAAAATTAATTAATTACAAATATAAAAAATAATACTACTATAATAATTATTACTTGTTATTATTAAGAAAAAAATGTTTTAAACGCTACAGAACTGGAAAGGACTTAAAAAAGCAAAATACACAGCAAATAACAATTTTCTAAATATGCAAAAATAAGTCTGGAAAATAAAAAAAAAGCAAAATAGCACTTATATTTTGAAATATGCAAAAATATGCAACATGAAATTTCATATTAAACTTCTTAGTTATATAAAACAAATTTATAACTGATAAAGGTATTTCTAGGATCTCTCAACAAAAATATGTAAATGCTATAAGTTATGAGCCCTGATTATAACCATCATAATTGTTGTTATAACTATTATTAATAGAGATGAGAAATTATAGAAATTCGATTATTTTGCTTGTGTTTTCTATGTATAGATAGGTTAGTTAAAAATCTGTTCTATAATCTTGTGAATTCGTATTTGTAGTTAATTTTTTGAATATTTTGGTAACTTTTTCAAGATTGCATATTAATGGTTTTCCATGCATATAAACATATTTTTAGTAAATTTATTTTTAATATGGGTTAATATCCTATAAAATAATTGATGACAAAACCTGTAGTTTCAATACAGCGTAAAAACCAAAAATCTATAACGTATATTTATAAATCGTTTATTATAGAATAGTATTTGAATTGAAATAAAATAAAATATAATTACTTATCAAGACATCGGTTATTTTTATCTTATCTGAATATTACGCAATTATTTTTTCTTTCACAACTTTCAAAAATAAAATTTAGTTTTTCCGTCGTATATGCTCTAGTTTTTATTGTGTTTTCGTTATTGAGTATTTAATACCGAAAGTACTTATCTAGTTAAAAGAAATACGCAGTAACCAAGTATTGCACCCGGGGTGAAACTTCAAAATTCTTCTATGTATTTTTCACTTAAAAATATTTTAATTATTCTATATTATTTTTAACAATTACTTAAAGGACATTATAGTTTATGTAAATAAAATATACAACATTGACGGTATAATTTTGAAAATAAAATGCAAATTTTTCATTTTCGCGCCAGGTGTTGTGTCCAGGGCGTAGGCGCTTCTCGTCCAAACAAGGGGGTTGTTACGGCCCCGGAAAGACGTAACAGAATTTGATGAAAATATTTTTGCGATATTTTATTTTGTAAAATTTGTGAGGTCAAAGTAGTAAAAGGTTTACGGCACTATAAAACAATCAGACATGAACGATTGGTGGTGATTCGTCAATATATTTCAAATTTTAAAAAACAACAATTGTTTAGTATGCCTATTTTGCAATATTACCTCCCATAACTTCTAATCTCTAATTATTAAAATTATTATTATTATTATTATTGTTGTTGTTGTTGTCACATTTTAATGCATTTAATACACGTTAGATTATTTCAGATATTTATCCCTGATATTTCAGTCGATAATTTGAACATTTTACTGTTGAAAAAAAAATTAAAAAATAAAAACAATAATTTCATATGTTTGGCAAAATAAACGAAAAATATTATCACAAAGAAAAACTGCAATATATTTTTAGTTTTTACCATCCATATTTATCGTTTATTCCCTCTGGTATACTTTAATTTAAATATGAAGTTGATATGTATACCTATATGGTGTTATAATTTATATTTTTTCGTTAATTCAGTCATTAATAAATAAAATTAGCTATAAGATTTTTTTTCCTTTAAAGATCAGTTTAAAAAATATTGAGATACTGCTTAATTAAATACATTTTAATAAAATAATTAAACGTAATAGTCCATTAGAGGATATGTATTAGGAAAAATTATATGTATTCTCCTGTAAAATATTTTTCATCGCAAGATGTTTACCGCAATTTTACAGCACTGTACGAAAATATTTTTCGTAATTTAACCATAACATTAATTAATCTTATTTCGATTAACTTTTTAGTTATTAATTCCTAAATAAATGTATACTAGTGATCGTATTTTACACACCCTAATCAGTTACAGATTTTGAATAACATAAAACTATTACACTCGTTGACAAAAAAAAAAAAAATAATAATAAAAACACATTTTTATACGTTAACATTATTTTTAAACTAATAGGCTTAAAATACGGTTGGTAATATATGAGTATAAAATGTTTTATATGTTACATGTATAATATCCCGCGAATAATACGTATAAAACGTATTATTCACTATTAGAAAATTAAAAATACTTCCTGTTTCAAATATTTAATTAGGTTTTTTATTTTTATACTTAATAATTTTATATATCATATAAATTATAAAATAAATATTTTTGTTCATAATTTTCTTCTCTCATTCTTTCTAATCTATCTGAATAGAAAATAATAAAAAAAATCCTACAGACACAGAATATATTATGCATATATTATTACATTGATATACTAAAATAAAATTTAAATGTTGCCAAAAATATTAATAGTGTTATAAATGTCACAAGTACAATGAATTTACTATAAATACGTCTGTAACAAGATAATGATAATTATTAATAATAAATCTTTAGCACCACGCTTGTCTATTTATAATTTATATTTCCTTTTTGAATAGTTAGTGTAAATTATTAATGTATTTTTGTTTATAACGGATTTTATTTTCTTACTATATAAAACGTATATAATTATGTGTAGTCATAAGCGTAACTAGGAGGGGCGACTTGGAGGGGCTGAAGCCCCCTAGAATTCCTTGGAGCCCCTCCAACATTTTTTGGACAAATTTACTTACAAACCGCTATAGTATATAATAGTATTAATTTTAAGTCTCCGGCAATGTAGAAATGTTTCATATGATAACGAATAATAGTTCGAAAGCAGTTTCAATAGTAAGGTTATCTGCACACTACAGACTTCTTATCGACCGATAGTTTAGTCGGGTTGGTGGTGACTGCGCACACCTACCAACAGTCGGCCGATCATTGCTATCGATAATTTTGTTATATAGTTATTATATTAAATGATATGTATTAGTTGCTATTGAAGAAAGTGGTCGCGTGAAAATGAATGACAAAATTTTTTCCAGGAATGTAATTATAGAATATATAATATATTAATATAATATAGTATATATAATATATTTGATAGAACGGAGAAGAAGGATTAAGAAGAAAAGAAACCTAGAATATTGGGTACTTCCTATCTACACTGATAGATTATTACAAAGAAAGTTCTATACAACACATTCAAAATTATTGAACGCTGCTCTTTTTTCGATTTCTTCTATTAAATTTTCAATAGATGATTCGATAAACAGCGACATATTTTAGCACAGCAGTAACTTCCTGTGTCGACTTACCTTCTATCGGTCTAGACGGCCAACTAATTAATCAGCATGTGTGCGGGCGATGGGAGAACGTCATACTGATTAAACAGTCGACCGATAGTTCGCCGACTGTTTAGTTTGAAGGCAATCGTACAGCCCATCAAACTTATTAATCGGCCGATACCAAATCGTTTTAATGTGGGCTCTTACATCAACCTTCATACAATTTAAAAGCCGACTAAACTATCGGCCGATAAAAAGTCTGTAGTTTGTGGGCTCTCTAACAATTAGTGATTTGTAATGTTATTTGATAATACATTTGGATCTATTTTTAAATATACTTATATTATCTAGTTGGCGGTAGAGAGATATTTATATTTGATTATAATCTAAGTCTATTTCAACCATAAAGTGTTTATTCTATTTATTATCTGTGATTCCAACTAAGAAAGTTCTTCGGCGGCTGCGAGTTTTCGCAGAAGTCTGTTGATAATAAATTTGAAATAGAATATGATAATAATTAGGGCAGAGGACTTGTAGATATGCTTTTAAAATACCTATGCATTTTAAAATGAATTTTTTTAAACAAAAAATAAGAATTTTTCTGTAGGTATTTAATATTATGAATACATTTTATTTACAACTTTATTTAACAATTTACAAGTTACAATTAATTAATTGGGTTTATTTTATGGGTTTTCTTATTTGGATACTTACTTTAGGCATTTTTTATAATTAATAGTAAATAGAACGTGTTTGGACTGTTGAGAAACGATTACTAAGCGATTACTGAAATATGAATATGTCTGATGTCGACGGTAGACGTCCCCGTGGCCCGTATCAATATTTTGTGCGTTGAACAATATTATCTCATCTGTCTATAAATAACATGAATAACCCGACAATCAATCTAATCGACAACTCTCGAGACGTGTTTTTAGTAAAACCGTGATGGGTCTGGGAAAAGTCAAAAACCATATTAATATTATGATCAAAATTTAAAATCATTTTAAATTCAACGTTATTTTGTTTGTATAAATAAATAAATAAAAATGTTGACAAAAAAATATTGATCAAATGATAAATTATTTAAAACATGTATCTAAAAGTATAAAACGGAAGAAATATGCCCTAAAACCAAAAAAATGCAAAATATGCATTTATATGCACAATAAAATTTCAAAACTAGTTTTATGGTAGCATGAAACGTATTTGTTTTGCACTCTGCTATTTTTGTTACTGTGCAAAAAAATATACAAATGCTACAAGTCCTCTGCTCTAATAATACTATATATAAAGACAATATCGTAGACACTTTGGACTGTATTTATAAAGGTAAAAAATCCCGGAAAAGCAATTTACACACATGCCAGTCGTACTAGTACACGGCAAACGTATCTGCATTCTACTCGTACACTCGGTACTTACATAATTACATATCTCTTTTTTTTATATTTTAATTTGTTTACGATACTTGTACTGTGTAATTTGTTTTGGTGTTCAAACTCCAAATATGTCTAAGTCTAACATCGATAAATAGTGTGCTTGTGGTAAAAATCGGCAAAATATAAACCCAACAAATTGGCAAAGATATCTGGATCATTGTTCAAAAATAAAACAAAACAATCCGTCATGCGAAAAATAAAAACCTAGATCAGATCTAGTATGGCCCAGGATAGATTTACAGATGTATCCATTTTACATATTGAAAGATATTTCAAATACTTTTAAGACGGAAAATATTTTAAATAAATTTGTTATGAAAAATAGACGTATGGATTTGTATTGTTTATAATTATATTATTAAATTTCTTATTTCATTTTGTGTACATTTGATGCTAAGTTTGTTTAAAAATATCTGAATGAAGAAATAAACTCATACATACAATTTTTGATACTGAGTATTATTGATTATTATTTTAGGTACCTACCCCATATTATACATTATTTATTTTTATGGAATTTAGGTGAATGTGCGAAACAAAAAAATATTATGCATTATTAATTATTAATCAAATTAAATGTTATATATTATATTATACAAATTCAGAAATGTTTTAATCGATTGATCTTGTCATGTTTTTAGGTAATTCATATAAATTAAGACTATGTGGACCGTGGGGGTAATTATTTTCTCATGCCTTATTTTGCTATAACATTTTATAGAACTCTAGACTCCCCTGATGTAAAGGCCTAGTTACGCCTATGTGTGTAATATATTATACGTTTTATACTTTGTATACATACATGTTTATCCCGTATTAAGGTCGATTCCCACTGGTCCGGGCCGGGTCCGAGCTTGGTTCATGACACATAATGGCACGTCCGGATTGACTCGGATCAGGCATTCACACTCGTCCGGGCCCCATCTGAATTAACAATTTTGTTTTATTTACAACTTATAATTTTACTTCAGTCATCAGTCTCGAACGAATGAAAAACCACGTGGTTTGTCTTTGTGCATTTTTCTAATATCTTAGTACTAAAATGTTTACCTGAATTAAATTTTTAATTATAAAACTAATACTCAAAGCAAATAAATTTTAAGTAAGTTCTAAACTCATAATATTTTTCTGAATCCATAGTTATAATTTAAAATATTTAATTATGAACCAACAGCTTTTTCGAAATTTGTATGACATATGACGAATGGTGATTAAATGAAAAACACAAAACATGGACACGGCTCGGTTCTTCATTCACATTTGTCATGACGTGTCCGGACCGGCGTCAACCTGTCCGGGAACCCAGATAGAGAATTGTTTTAAACAATTATTTTTTGACCCGGATCCCGCACGAACGCCCGGCCCGGGTTCGGTCCGGACAAGTGTGAATTGTCGGAATAAATTCAATATGATAATATTTTTCTAAAACCCGCTTGGGCTCCGGCCCGGACCAGTGTAAATCGACCTTTATACATTTCAATTCTGATTTAAAATAATTAAATTATTATAATAATATAATTACGAACTACCTATATTTTTTATTGTATTTAAATAATTATATTTAACTAATATCTATCTGCATATTTAATAATTGGTATGTACTACATTTCATAAAGCGTGAAATTATTTCATACCTTTTGCTGAAATTCATGACTTTGTAATCGTCTTTTACTGTCAATCATATAAACATTACAATATTAGGTACATATACGTAGTGCCGGATTACCCATTAGGCGGAGTAGGCGCCCGCCTTAGGGCTTCACTAATTTAAGAGGCCCTGTGAAAATGGAAAATTATATATTTTTTTATTTAATAATATCTGTATTTTATTTACGAATTTACGGGACAAAAGTCATAATGAAATATAATTTATATTAAGTTGTAGATGTTATATGCAGTAATAGTAATACAATTATTTTGAAAAAAATAGAAATAATATAATAATTAATTAATTTTTCTTTCAAATAAAAAAAATGTTATAAACATGATTTTATTTATTAATAATATTTAGTTATTATTAAAGCTGTTTATTTTAATCATTGAATAGTAATATTAAAGATGTATGTAAAAAATAATTTTACAGGGCCCAAAATTTGAATTGCCTAGTGGCCCACAAATGTTTAATCCGGCATTGCATATACGATACCTATTTAATATTTATTTATCAACTATCTCAGTAGCTTTCTTTTGAATTAAAGTTTAAGTTGTGTATTTTATTTAAGTATTTTTTTTTATTTTATGTAGTAATAAATAATGTTTTGATAAATTAAAAAAATAATAATCATTAACAGTATTAGACATTTTTAGAATAAACGAAGCATCTGAAAGTAAAATATTATTTATAATTATATGTAGTAAAATCAAAAATTAGAAATAAAATATTGAAATTTAAAATTGACAAGATGCTACAGTACATGAAAAACCCATATTAATGTTTTAAAATTGCTATGTTAATATACATAATTTATTTCAAAGGTTTGTTTAAATTATATTAATAGAGATTTCTATAAAATTACTGCATCAGTAAACTTTCTAATTTGATAAAATGAAAAAAACATCAATGCGTACACCTGCAATAATTGTATTAAAGTTAATTGTTTTTTATTAGGTACAAGTGACTTACATCGATGAATACGTAGGATCAGGATTCAATACTAGAATGTCATCGATGTTCATAGTTGGTGAACTGACTGGAATAGGAATGCTTGTTGCACCATGGGCAGTAGTGAAGTTGGGTAGGTCAAATTATAAAAGTTTGATCGAACTTTACCAAACAGTAACGTTTATTACTTATAAATATACAAAGTGATAGTGGCTTACAAGTTTAAATATTAGTAGGAAAATTGTGTGAAATAATAACACATTTTTAACATACTCGTATTGTAATAACATTTGTACAGGTTGGCTCGGTTTCGTAATGTTGGCGGCTTTCGCAGTCGCAACCGCTTATAGCAGTACTTGTCTTGGAACTTGTTGGTTGATACTCGAAGAACGTGCAATGGAAAATAGACATTATCCAGTTAGAGATCCGTATTCTACTATAGCATTTCATTCGTTTGGAAAGATAGCAAGGTGAATATTCAAATTCGAGTTAAAGTCAAAACGAGTAGAATAATTTAATATACAACTTAATCTCAATAAATATTTTAAATAATTATTATTTGTTTTCTAGTATAATATCTACAACATTAATCAACGTTACACTTTTTGGAGCCGCGACTGTATACCTGATGCTAACCGCCGAAGCTGCCCATCGGTTATTTTCAAGTTCTCATCCAGAGGCTACCTTTTGCACTTGGCTGGTTGTATTTTCCGTTTCTATGAGCTCATTAATGTTTGTAGAAAACCCAAAAGATTCTCGGTACTATATGTTTGTCTAACACGCATTTAAAACAAAAGAATGTAATATTCAGTTATGCATCAATGCACCGTTTTATATTTATATTGTTCATTATTTGTTTAAAATCATGATTATATGATAATAAACATAAAAATAATTATTGATCTATATATATATATATTGTTTATTTGTTTATTATAATAAAACGCAAAATATACTCGTTTAATACTAAATCGGTGGTTGAACAATAAAATATACAATAACAATTTTAACAGAATATTTTATCAATCTATTCTATTTTTATTTTCGTTTTGATACAATATTTGATAAAGTGGTTGCATTTATAACGTTCGCTTTGCTAGTTCTTACCAATTTAAATTCTCATTGGCTATATTTTATGTCTGAATATTCTAATAATGAATCTTAATTATTATTTGTTGATATAGCATTGTAGCCCTCACAGCATTATTGACCGCGTTGACCGCATGTTATTTAGTGATCATGCAAATATTATTGGACATCAGAAACCAAGAAGGAAATTTGCCAATGTTGCATGATTATGAATGGAACACAGATCAGTTCTTCTTGTCTTATGGTACAATATTGTTTTGTTATGGCGGAGCAGTCTCGTTTCCCGTTGTACAGAATGAAATGTTCAAAGTAAACCGATATTCACGCAGTCTTATCACGGTTTTCTCTAGTGAGTAGCACCTACAATTATATCTCCATCACAATCAGAATTAAGCATTTATTTATTTTATAAACGTTGACCAACAAAAACGTTTAACAATATAAAAATCAAAATTCACATTGATCGAGAATATAATAAATGTTAACTCTGATATTGAATTTATTTTTATTTAATAAATTTCAAACTTTAATCGTAATAAAAATTACTTTAGTGTAATAATTATCGTAATTGTGTTAAATCTTCTATATCTGCTATTTCAATTCTTATGTATGTTGAATAACTATTGAAAGAAGTTTGACTAATAATCATTTTATATAAATTTATTTTATTTTATATTTAGAAGAGCTATACAACTCTGTATACAACATAATAGATCTATCAATTTTACATTTAAAAATGAAAATTACTTGTTGTTTAATTAATTTATATGTTTTATTTAGTGATGGCTTTTATATTTGGAACAATTGTTGTCATTTCATACGTTGCCTATGATGTGAAAATTGAACCAAACCTCTTCATGTCCCTTGGTGACTCGTGGTGTTCCATCGCAGCCATTGGTTTAATGATTGCTCATCTCATTCTTGGATTCATAATTATTGCGAACCCATTATCTCAACAATTGGAGAACTTATTCAATACTCCCCAAGAATGTAAGTACAATTAATTATTTTAAGTTAAACGTGTTTAGATATAAGGAAATATTAATTATTACATTAACATTACTTTTATTTTAGCCTTCAGTTTTCAAAGATTCATTGTGCGCATGGGCATGTTGGTGGCTATGATCTTTCTTGGACAAATTGTACCAAATTTCAACTTTTTAGTATCTTTGATTGGCAGCTCGACTATTTCATTTACAACATTTGTGCTTCCATCACTATTCTACTTGAAATTATGCGTAATGCAACATCCCAATTGGCCTGATAGGTATGAAAGTATTTTATAATGTATTAAATTTATAAAATGTTTATTATGTAATTATAAATCACTCATTTTATGTAAAACTTTTTATTAAAAATAGATCTTTTAATACTTTTTTTATAATTGTTTATAATATTAATTTACAAGTACTCAAAATCAATTATATTTGTTTTTTACCTATTTTAGAAATGTAGACCTGTAAATTAAAAGAAAAAAAATTAAGTTTTTCTTTTTACTTTTGGATTTTTAGCAAAGAGCTGTTAGGCTTTTTTAACTTATACTTTTTGTGTAGTAAAAATGTTACAAATATTTAATATATTTCTATTAATCAATAAAAAAATTAGCCTTAGAAAATTTTTAAGAATCCCATTCTCTAAAACCAATTTTAAAATGTGAGTAAAATAATAATCTTAATTTAAATTATTATGAATTTTACTCAAAATTGTATTTCTATCCAAAAGAATAACAGTTTAAATCACTTTAAATTAAAGAGATTTATAGCCTTTAAACTGAAAGTATAAGGTTGAATAATTATATTTTATTCTTATATTAATATGCAATACTCTGTACAGAATTATAGACATTTAATAAATATAATTATAGATAGTCTAATTCCAATTATTTAGTACTGTACATTATTAATATTTTATTTATTTTCAGGTCACTGCCGTGGAAAGCTAGACTGTACTTTTATTTTGTTATTACTATTGGACTTATGGGAAGTATTCTATCCATAATTACGGCTATTTGTAGTCTTTTTAATTTACATTCCTATTACGCACCGTGCTTTTGGTCTTTGATGTTCCCTGCTAAGACTTTTATTAAATAAGACTTATGCTTCACAACATTATAAACTGAAAACAATTAAAATTTCAAATTTAATTAAGAATTTAAAGAATTTTTCAAATATTTTATTAAACTTTTAATTAAATTAAAAAATTAAAAATTAAAAACAATAGGTAATTTTATTGGGTAAATGTAAGTTCTCATACGAAATGAAACAGGTAAAAATCATTCATATGTAAATTCTGACAAAAAAAATACATCTAATACATGCACATTCTTTATAAATACAAATTGTTTTCTTCATACTTAAAATGTATAACTTAAATTTGTGTATTTTTGTGTTTCATAAAAAATATAAAATTTAGATTATAGAGTATGAATATTTAAAATAAAGATGAATAAAAATTATATAAATAATTAAATTTAATTTTAATTTTATAACAGAAAATCAAACACTTTAATTATTTAGTTGTTATCTAATATTTTATTCTAAATATATATATTTTAATTTTTCACTAATTTTTTTTGGGATTTATTACAATCTAATATTCTTTATTGATACATTATGTATTTGTTCAAAATATTTTTAAAACATTAATTATATATAATAATATATTAAGATTATTAGAAATGTTTTTATCTATATATCATCATCTTACATGTAAAACTAGATAAATATAGATAACAATTATTAAATATACTGCTATATTTCTATTACGCCATATTTAAATTTATATTCTTGTAGGAACATAAGAATTTTTATTTATTTTTTGTCATGTAAAAATTTACGTATCAGTGTTTTTTTTTTTGTCAAAATTTACACATGGAACTGTTTGTAATGATGTTTCGTATGACAGCTTACCAAACCACATCTCACCATTATATTTAAATATAATCCATATCCTAATAATGTTCTAGAGTGATCTTTTTCATTCCTATAAATAAAATGCCATAAATTATTAATAATTTGTTTATCCCGTAAATATTATAATTGATAGAATATGATCTCTTTGCATAATAAAAGACTTAAACACTATTAGTGAATAGTGTTAAAGATTGAGTTTTAATTGTTGCTCAATTTTAAAGCTATAATTTAAAATACAAAGTGTATGTTATGTATTTTACGTAAGATATTAAGCATTGTAACAAACAAAAATATTGAAAAACACTATGATTCACAGATAAATAATAAATAATTAATGAATAATATTGTCATCTTATGCTTGATTAAAAAAATATAGACACCAATAATTGTTCCATTAATTTAACATTTATTGTGTTTGTTATTAAATCATTATAATTATTATATTAAAAATAATTTATTATGAAAAAAATTTTTCTTTAATAATATTTTCCTAAACTTCATTTGTAAATGTTTTGGTTTTACGTTAAATACATTGTGACCATATATATTTTTTTTGTTTATACATGTTTTATTAATTTTTTTATGTATATTAATTTTAATAATATCTACATTATATTTTTTTTTGTTACACATTTTTTGTTTATAGTATACCATAAGGTATTCCTGTTGCATGTAAAAATATTATATCTATATTGTTTTATAAATATAATGTTATTTACTTTTAATTATTTTCAATATTAACTATACACTTTTAATATACAAAATTTGAATTTAAAACTTATTATAGTATGTATTACTTGTATATTTTTTTTTATCCATGTCATTAGTGTTTTCAAATAAATCAAGTAGAATTCAGTATAAAATCTATTCGTCTAGTTTCTATGAAATATTAATTAACATAATTTAAAAATCAATAGGTACCCATTGTTTAATGTTGATCTAAGCTTGAAATATATTAACTCAGTTGTTAATTCAGTAAAAAATAGTACTTGATGTAGTAACTCAATTGTGATTAGTACAAAACTCATCTCATACACCATACTAGCCCAACTATAGCTGCTATACTCATAAAAAATAAAAGCACATACACTCACAATTTCATTATTTTTAATAATTAATCATCTAGTTTATATTAAGTAAAATAGATAATTTATTATTTTTAATTTTATTGTCAATTATCTCAAATTATTTGCTATGTATATTAATTTCCAAAACTTATTACAAATTCATATTTTGTTTTACATGAGTTACTAAAGCATAATTAGTGACAACCAATTGTTCAGAATAACCATTTTTTATTTTTTGTTTCTATTTATCAAAAAAATGTTACTAAGAAAAAAATTAGCAATAGATTATAAAATATTATTTCATGACCAACTTTTTAACTGGTCAGAGTTGACAGTAATATATATGAAAACAATATCTTATTAATATTTGAAATGTTTATAGAAATATGATATTTTAGATAACACTTATGAATTATTTGATAAATTATTACTATAAGTTTTATCATTGATTATAAATACTAGTACTTATAATCAATGGTTTTATGTATTCATAACAGGTTAATTAATTTATTATAAAAATTATAATAACTAAATGTTCTAATAAGATATTTTTTTCATAATTTGTATTTAATATCTTAACATCTAGACAGTTAAAAAATATATGTAATATATAAAATATAATCTAATAAAAATAATAATTTGTACATTGTATTTATTCATCAATATTAATTAGAAATAATATCTATATCAATATACTCGTGTACATCAATTAATGGCATATGATGATAATATATACATGTGTAATGAGATGGCAAGTTAGTTATGTACTTTGTTGATATTGATGTTTGTTAATTTAATCAACATTTCATGTGCTATGTATAAAGAGTTGATAATATTTTTTTTTTTAAATAAATCATTTAATATTTTAAAAACTAAAGATGTTGTATATGAATATATACATATAAATATTTAAATTTTATATATGTAATCAATACTTATATGTCCCATCCACAAGTCAATATTTTCATTAACTAAATGTTCACAAAATGAAGACCTTCAATATCATGCTTTTAATGAACACTAAGTTTTATATTTATAATTAGAACTTACTTATAGTTTATTATTATATTAAAATATAATTAATCAGTTTACAAGTTGCCTAATTAAGGTGACGAGAATAATTACACATAAAATTATTATTGACTAGGAAAGGAATCATATGTACATAAAGATACACAATGAAGACAATATTTACTATGTGGATGCGATATATATACAAATTATGACATATATTATAAACTAATATATATTTAAAATTAGTTTTAATATTATCTTATTGCAAACAAATAATATAGGTAGTTTTAATTATATCTTAGTAAATCTCTACAAATTTGAAGTTAATATTATTAATTTCAATTGTAAACATACGATACCTAAATATACGAACATTGTAATTCAGTTTAAACTACTACAAAACATATATTTTTGTTATTATTTTTTTATATTTTTATCAAACAGAACTTTTGTTATAAAATCTAAGAGTCATAACTCACAAGCGTCATGTGGTCAGAGTCGTATTCAGTGTTGGACAAGAGAGCATGGGCCAAGGGCGAAATTCTAAAAAAAGGGCACAAATTTCAACATTACTTATGTAATATTTTTCACGAAATATGAAAAAGATGTAGTTAAAACAATTTCATTTGCTAATTTCATTGATAAATTTGCCTTTATAAAAGCCAGAAAAGTACCATTGTAATAGGTATTGTATTAAAATGAATTTAAAATCATCTAACACAATTGTATAACAGAATCATTTGAAGAAAATTACAAATTTTTATAATGTATTGATTGTTTATATTTAAAGTAATATAAATAGTTATTAAAGTTTATTAGTAATTATTAGGTACCTTTTTATACTAGGTAGATATGTTACATGATTTACATATCTCAAATGATTTTTTGTGAAAAAAATTCCCATTGGAGGGGGGGGAGGGGTGCAAATATAGTGATTTGCCAGGAGCGCCACCAGACCCCAATACGGCCCTGCATATGGTTCTTAACGTTTTAAAAATGAATAACATAACAAGTACAATAGTAAAAAGTTAAGTACCGGTGAATAGCCTAACAAATAAGTTAGAATGTACAAATGTACAATGGTTAATGTATTATTTCATTAAAACTGTACTACTTGTTAAATAGTTTTCATTTAATTTTATAGGTTGATGCATCCAATAATATTATTATTCACAATTGACTCAACAGTTAAATATTCATACCATGTAATAAATACTTTTAATAGATCTAAAAATAAATAAATGACACTTAGTTCTTTTATAATGCCTTAAATTATAATGTTTATTATAAAATTGCCAAAGTTGAGTAAAAAAAATGATACACTCCTTATATAAATACATACGTATATTATATATTATTACATATACATATTATACATATAGTACCACGTTTAATTAACACTTAAATAGATAATTTATCAAATTAAAATCTTCGTGCCCACTAGCTTTATAAACATAAACAATTTTGAAGTAGATTTAATAAATTGTAAAAATTAAAAAAAAAAATCGAATATGTAAGAGCTTATAAGAAAAATATGTGTACATAAATAACCAATTATATTCTATAGTTATATAGTTTAATGTTAATGTTAATTAAATTGTTTACAAATCTCTTAAATCAAAAAAAAAAAAATATGCTCTACAAATAATGATAATTTAGATTTACACTATACAAGATATAAAAAACATAAAAATAAATAAGTTTTTTAATTTCTAAGAATTTATAAATTATGTATTTAATTTAATTAAAAAACAAAAGAAATTTAATTTATAAAATACAACTTTTTAAGTAATAATATAGTCTGCGAAGTCATAGTATATATATAGTACCTAATTTGCACAAAATTATTATTTAAATAGGATTGATTGTGTCTTTTAAAAGATATTTGACCCAAACGAAATATATTCTTAAAATTTATTACAAAAAAAGTGTATTTTTTAATAATACTTTAATATCAAAAGATTTACAACCATTATCGTATTTTTCATCTAATTTTTAATAAAAAATACATTTCGATACATATATGTAGTCTAATTTAATTGGATTGTTAAACTAGGTAATAGAAATACAATTATTTATTAAAATTATTTTCCAATTTTCAAAATTTCCAATTGTTCTTTGATGTGTTTATGTAGCAAAATTGAATTGTTTAATATGTTAACAGTGAATTAATTAGAATTTATGAACGTCAAAAACCCTAAATGCTTAAATTTCATTATTTTCTTGTATCACTTCGATATTAAATTATGCATTTTATATTAAGATATTGAATTTAATCATCGAATGACAGTCGACTAAATCAAATAGAAAAAATAATAAAATTAATATATTTAATTAATAAATTTTTTTGTTATAGAATTTTTTATCTTCATAAATATTAATTTATCATATTCGCACTTAACATACATTACTTATGTTTTAGATTTACTACATAGTCTATCTAGGATAACATTTATTTATCAATTTAGGTTTTCCAAAGATTTTTAATTTGTTTTTTATATTTTTATTGTAATAAAATATAGATCTTTTTTAAAATAAATAGTATGGTCATTTATGTTTTCATATTTTATTTTATATTGTATTCATATCAAAAGTTTTATTATCATGAACGTTTTCTTCAGTTTTAATTTTAGCCCATGGTTGTCGTTCTCCTGATGCAAATGTGGCATAGAATATTGCTCCGAACAGATATATGCCACTAGCAATTAAAAACACCCAATGCCATTCTTCTGCACTCTAGAAGTATAATAAATATTTTAGTAAAAATTAATGGATCGAATAAAAATATTAAGACACTAACTTTATTTTTTACAATAGCACCAGCCAGCATAGGGCTTATAATTCCAGGTATTGTTGCAAATGTATTGGAGATTCCCAAAATTATGCTAGCGTATTGAGGTGCTATGTCCAAAGGATTAATGCTATAAAATACAATCAAATGGTAGATAGGTATTTAAAATATACTTTTGTATTTCGAGTCAAGAACTACCTGAATCCAGACCAAGCAAACGCCCCAAGTCCTACAGCCAATGTTAGACAAGTTATAGATGCGACTTCAGATGTAGAATTCGCTGCCAAGCACATGAAGATAGTTTGACTCACGAAAGCACCACAGTTAAAAATTTTTCTAACCTATGGAAGGAAATTTGACGCTAAAATATTGTATGTTCGAATTGTAGCGTAATTATTTATCGTTTAAATACATACTTGTGTAGTTGTAAAAACGTCGTGTTCCCTTAGCCAGTCTACAAAAAATCCACTGAATTGAAGAATAATAGACATAACTAAGTATGGTAAAGCTGACAGTAAACTTCCTTTTTCGATATCGAATTTCAATACATCTATGAAAAAAAAAGTGATAAAAGTTCATCATAATGTTCGAGTCTGATTTCTTATACTCGTAGTTACCGTTCATGAAGCTTGGAAGTTGCGTAAGTAAAGTGTAAAAGCCCCAGTTTTCACAAAAATGGGCACACGTTATTGCCCACACTGGCGTAGATGTAAGTATATCTTTCCATGGATAATTTAAAAAACCAACTGTAGACAAAATATTTGTAAATTATTTATACATTTTACTTGAAATCGAAAATGTTATCGAATAATAATGCGTTTACGTTTCTTGTCACCGGTTGGCCCAATCGAATCGATAATGTACATGAGTTCCTCTTTCGTAATGTATTTGTCTTCTATCGGAGATTCAGCGATGCACGTTAACCAAACAGAACACCATAATATGGCTACAAAACCTAAACATCCCAAATAAATATTTATCTTTTATTGAAACTCACTATGTATAAAAGATGCCTGTGTTCATTACCTGGCACATAAAACGTGGATGGCCAACCGTAATTTGCGGCTAACCATCCGCATATCGGGTAACCTATCACAGTGCCCACAAAACTACCAGAAAAAGCAAACGACCCCAACCGGGTACGTTCAGCGGGTGGGGCCCATCTGGACCACACGGCATGTATGCCAGGGTAAACGACTCCCTGGTTTGATAAAAAATAAAACAAGCTATAGCAGTTATCAATAATAAATGTGCGTAATGCAAACCTCAAACACTCCCTCGACAACTCTGAGGAAAATGACGAGATAAACTGAATACCTGGCAGCCATAGGGGTAAGGATGGTGAGGACTGATGTACCTAGAACGCCAATACCGATCAATTTCACGCCTCCTAATTTCGATCCAAGTAAGCCTCCAATAAGTTGAGTAGAAATGTACCCGTAAAAGAACGAACTCAGGATCGTACCACGAAGTTGTGGACTCCAATCAAATTCGCTCTTCTGTAAACAGAAGAAAATAAAACAATGATATACTACACATTGTTTTTTTTTTTTTTTTTTTTTTAATAACAAGCCCAATTAACTGATTTGACGGATTAAAGGTGGAAAAAGTGTACACAATAATTTGTATAAATTACCGACATAATTAATAAGTAGTCTGATAAGTTATATATAAAGAGATACATGATAAGAATATTCGGTTATAACATTATACTGCTGCTCTATTGCACAATGTGTTCGAAATTTTAAATAAGTTCTATAAAAACTGAAACAACGAACTAATAAACTTTGTATAGCGTTGATTCAATCTCCCATTGATAAATATCTTAGAAAAATTTGGGAATAGTAGTGATTTTTATCGATTTATTGGTTATAACTAGGCAAAATTAAAATTTGGGGGAAATGCATCACTTTCGTAACATGAAATCTTTTTAGTCATTACCGAGTGCTCAACACGGTTATTGTTAATAATAATAATTTATAATTACGATGTTACATAAGAACGTTGATTAAGTTGAATTTTCACTTAAAATATTTTGCTTTACAAAAAATTGTTTCTAGTTCCGGTATTATCTCATAATATATGAATTTATCTATACATTTTCAATACTTATTATTTAATCAGTTCTATCTGTAACACCTTTGTCTTTCCTATACCGACTTTGCATTTTTGCATGCCGAATCGTTTTTCTTTATCTGTGTTCGACGAAGACTGTATTATATGTTATAAGTCATATTTTACCTTTGATAAATATTACAAAATGAGTCAATTGACCTTTAAGACACACCACGTGTGATGAGTAAATTAATTTTGGATTGATTACAAAGAGATAGTTAAAATAATGATATAGATATCGATGTTTGGATAAGTACGAATGTATCAAACTAATATTCAAGGTGATGACGATTCATTTGAACGAGGAAATTCAAACACGAGTTTATTGACTTTTTAATTAAATTATTAGGAATAGTGTAAACAAAGGCGTGTGCACGAGAGAGGGAGAGTGCCTATTCATCCCCTCAAATTTTATGAATGGGGCCCTACAATTTAAGTTTAAGAGTATAGGACCTATATTTTAACTGATGTTGTCTAATTAAATGTAATTTATTCTAAAAAATTTGGTAAAACATAATTTTTATGTTTCGTCATAAAAAAATTAATACTACATTTGCTAAATTTTCGTGCAAACACCTATCTTCATAACAAAACAGCTACAATTTACTACAAAAGTACAAATCATAAATAATTGAAGCTTTCTGAAAAAAATATACGACATTCAAGAAGTACATATTAATTGGGACTAATATACAGCAATATTAAATAAAAAAAATAAAGTTATGTGTATTTAATTATTTATAATTATTCCTAAACGTTTTGTTTATATAGGGCTCAAAAATATTGTAGTTTGAAATACAGGTCTGTGCATGTCCATGATTGTAACTAATGTAAACAAAAACTACACAACCATTGATAAAAAATAAGAAAATTATTGAAAATAGCTTGAGGTAAATGGACACCACTGCTTAGAGCTTAGGCGAATAAAACCTATTGTATTTATTGAAAATATAATTTTATTTTATATACTTTAATTTAATTTATGTAAATTACTTTTTTAATATTTTAAGAAAACCAGTTCTGCCACGCTTAAAATCGATTTAGATTCCTCAATTTCAGTAATTCATTGTTGAGAAATAAAATAATGACATCGTAGAATAGAATTTAATATATTTAACCATTTTACACAAAAATAATTCATAACTTGTTTTTTACGTAAAAGTACTCTAATTAATATATTACATTTTTGAACATTAATTTAAGTAATATGTTATTGAACAAACAGAAAATAAAAAAAAGCCAACCGTAGCGCGTTGTATTTTTGAAACTACGAAATGTTCCCATACGTTAAAAATTTAATAAATTTCAATTTTTTTTTTATACTGCTTTATTGAAGTTTTTTAAAAAAATGTTCAAAAAAATTTAAAATTTAAATTAAAATTGTTTACGTTATTTGAATTTATTTTAATTCGTAAAATTTTAAATTTTACTCAAATATTGCATTAAAAATTACAATAATATTCACTGTTAATTATGAATTATAGTGACCGACTTTACAATTAATTAATGTACGTAATTAAAAACATATAAGTAATTTTTAATACATAATAACCAAATTTTTTTAGAATTAAAAAAAAAAAAAATTATTAATATAAGAATATATTTGTTATTTACCTACAAATTAAATTATAATTTTAATTTAACTTGTAATCTTACATTATAAGTAAATACTTTATATACCTATTCTAATATTAATGGTTTTTTTTTAGAATTCTGTTTATTATGTGTTACGAATTACTTAAATATTTTTTATTACGTATGTTAATTAATTGAAAAGTCAGTCACTATAGTTCATAATTTACTACGAACATTCTCTTGTGGAATTGTTTTTAATGCAATACTTAGGTAAAATTAAAATTTTTACGAATTAAAATAAATTAAAATACCGTAAACCAGAGGGCGGTATTTAGGTATATGATGGCCTTTGAACGAAATCCATTGTAGGAGTCTCTTATACATAAAGAAGAAAATATATTTTTTTTAATCTATTAAACAACATTAACTATTATATTTGGTAGTTGTAACAATTAATTTCTTCTTTAGTCATAAATATTCATAAAAACAATCAAATCGATTATAAGTAACATTATTATAATAATATAATTGCTTTATAAAAAGATGAATTACTTAAACTATGTAAACGTGTCATTAAATTATGAGTAACATATATGTTACTCATTATTTAATGACACATTATTTATAAATAATAATGTCAAGTGATTAAAATTAAACGCATGGAACTTTTATTTAGATTTTAAAACACTATCCTCGATAAACACAAATAAGATATATATTTTATAGGTTAGGTATATAAAAGTTTATATTTAAACGCCCAAATAAAATTCAATAATATTCAACTAAATATATGTAAACATGGATAAAATATTTTTTCTATATCCTAATTAAAATATTATAAAATTGTAGAGGCCTCTGAGTTGCAATACACTCAGCCATTTCCTAAATCGTACCCTGACGTAAACAATTTTTTTTTCAATACTTCGATAAGGTATTTAATTAAATATCAAAAAAATTTGAAATGTATTGAATTTTCAACGAATTAAAACATTTCGTAGTTTTAAAAATACAATGCCCAGTATGTAATACATACAATACAATATTAATGTTATCGAATTAATTAATTTTGATTACGTTATAGGATATAATACTATTATAAGCTATTGGAACATTGTTAGTTGCAATGTCTTTATCTTACCTACGTGATAATGAACATTTGCATGAATGCTTTCCGTAAATATACCAGTATTGAAACTGATCGAAAACTGTGTAAAATGACACGTTAAATATAGACAATTATTATTATGTAATTATAATTATCAGTATCCAAAATTACTCAAATATTTTCCACATATTTAAGTATAATGTGTTCATACATATTTTTTTTACATCTTATACTTGGGATTAGATAATATTATAAATTAACTATATTCTAAAATATATTTTATAAATTTATACCAAAAAATTATATTCTCCACTTAAATTTCATGATAGAAGCTAGAATTACAACTATCGTCTTTAATTTATTAAAAATTATTGTTAATATTTCGAAACAAAATATACATTTGCTTTGATTATTATTTACGTTTAGTTGTAGACTGTAAGACTTATTTTCATAGATATTTCTTCCATAACATTTTTAATGTTATACTTATTTGTTTTGTTAAAAAATTAATTTAAATTATTGTGATTTACTAACACATTGAAAAGTATCAGTTACAACTAATAAGTATAATAGTATGGTATACTAGTATGCATAATGCGAATACTGACGATAATGTGCATTAATACAATACATTATTTCGTTTATATTTTCATTAAAATATTTATGTAATTTAACTTTCATTTAGAGTGCATTATTTCAAATTGTATAATAGGAAGAAAGTGTAATAGTATCGGGTTCGAATTCTTAACCATATCGTTATGTTTCAGAGACAGAAAATAATTGCAAATTAAATACAGAAAATAATTGATTGTACCTTATCCTTATAATTAGCGGTTCGTATAGTATATTTATTGGTGCAAACGTACGTGCATGTACTGACCTTATGGCGATAACATTGTACACGTTTTCACTTTCATTTCCAGAGGTACTGAGCCCATTGACTACAATTTACATTTGATCTAATGTACCACGTGAAATGCGTTCATTTTATTACGATAGTCGATTACTGCTTTCAATATAACATCGAAAATATTTATGTATATCTATTGAAACTCAAAAATTCATGCGAGTTTTTTAAAATATTTTATAAATAAAACACATGGGCTGGAATATTGTTTAACTAATAATATTATAAATATATTTTAATTTAAAAAATAAATTATTGTCTCAGTGTATGGTTGGAGGAGTTAAATAAATATCCGTTAAATGTTAAACACTCACCTCGGTATCTGTCGACGAAGTCATGGCTACAATCCCTACACTTAAGTTTACCCGAAGGGTATAGACATTAAAGAATCCCAGAAAGGCAAAGAGCCCAACCATGTTACGGCGTTGTTTCCAAAATGAAGGTTGGCCATCGCTGCTAAAAAACAACACATAATAATCTGAGTTTGCACACTTTTTTTGTGTGGATAGTAAAGAGAAATAATACCTGAGGTTTTTGGGTGGCAGGTCCATGACAAACTGAACGTGCTACAGTGTCGAACGACCGGTTTAGAATGTTTGCCACTTCCTATAATGTTGATATGATTATGCTGTTGTATATATAGTTGATAAGTGAAACGTATTCTAATGTAATTATATGATTGGATCGTCGATATTATTGATAAATAAAAGACACGAAAAAAAAAACAATGATTCCGTTACATTTATTTATTATTATTAATAGCTTCTATAATAAAACAATGTCGTCCTGTGGTGCATCTAAATCCTGTGCCACAAAATATGGATATTGTTGCATGCAGACACAAATGTTACACGTACTGTGATATTTATTTTCTATATAACCGATTCCGAAATAGTTATTATTATTTAATTACTTTAATTATTTATTAATTAATTAACAGTTCTATATTTTAACTTATCGTCAAATCTGTAAACGCGAATAACTAAAATTAAAAAAGAACCGTACGTTACGTATAGTAAAATTGACAAAGAAATATAATTCATACTTAATAAATTTGCTAAATATAAAAAAATTATATTTTTATTTTTTACGTGTAATATATTTGTATTATATGGTAAAAATCATTTTTTCATAATATGAAGATTACATTTTCATACTCTCTTAGTAAACCCAGTATCACATTTATATATTTGTGTTGTGCAAGATCTGTTAAAAATGGTGCACACAAATTACGTACCAAAATAGGTAGGCGAACCTTTTTGAACAAATTGCGTCCCGGATGCAATTCATGTTACTTTTTCACTTAACCTTTTTTTATTTTTGAGGTTTCCAGTGGTTTAAAATTTAATTTTAATTTTGACGTTTTTAAATTTTTTTTTTTTAAAAAAATAATAATTAAATATTTATCATTAACATAATATTATTATACGAAAACTTGTTTTTAGTGATTTATACTTTTATGCCGGAGCTATACACGGCGTATTCGCCGTGTTTCGAACACGTATTCCGAGGCGTTTTCCATCTAACTAAAAGTAAACCAATACATTTTATACCTCATTTACATTCAGCCATTGCCGCTGTTCCTCGCGTTGTTGTATTTAATCTTCAAAATACTTCAGTGGCAGCATCGTAGGTAGTGAACGTGCTGCTAATGTGTGCTAATATCACGATATCGGTTAACCTGCTGCTGGGGCACTGCTCAATTTACCGCTCTTGACGATGATGCAGCGACAGTGCGAGGAGCGTGAACATCGTGAGTGACGTATTTACATACTCGTGCTGCCCACTTTCCAAAGGCGGGTTTAAGGAGGTGGCTAAGGGGGAATTAGCCCTTCCCCCTTGGGACTAAGCTAACTATTTTACAAAGCCAAGTATTATGATATGTTGATATATTTATAATTATTATAAAATATCGTCAATCGTCATTGATGAATTCGGTACTTATTTTATATATATTTTTTGCTGTTATATGTGTATACCTATATTTTTAAAATTATTTCAAATTAAAATCGATACCAATAATGTAACTATTTAAAATTTTATATGGATTGAAAAAACAACTAACTAAATTCTTGAACCTCCATTAGTCCCTCTCTTGGTGAGTGATAAAAATCGGCCATGCCACTTTCATGTCCGGTTCCCCGCTCACTGCTACGAAAATGGACTGAATACAAAATTTAATGAGGTATTAGTTTGACGGACAGCGCGATGGAATACAACGTGTACCTATAGCTCCGGCTTTATGGATATATATTTTCGATAAAAATATTAGGAACTATATGGACTACAACTATAACTATCGATTACAATCGAGACATTAAATTATAATAATATAAGTATACTAGTTACGGCATAATGCATCATGTTAACACCACAGCGATTAGGTGAATTCAGATATAACAAATAAATGTAATGCCACCAGAATTTAATGCCTACATTAACCAACCTGGCATATATTTATTGTAGCTATTTCGCTTTAGGAATCACTAAAAGTAATTAATTGTGGACGAAAAAGTAAAACAAATTGCGTCCGGGATGCAATTCGTTCAAAAAGTTTCGTTTACCCGTTTTGGTATGCAATTCGTGTGTACCCGTTAAAAAGGTCTGGACATGTCTATGCACATAGGCAATATTGCAATCTTAAGTGTAATAGTTTATTTTTTATTAAATAAAATTAATAATGTTATTAATTAAATACATACCAGTGGCGATGGTTTTGGGCGTGAGGAAAGTGAGGCACTGCCTCACTTGTAATTTTCAGGTAAATACAAAAAAAAACTGTTTCTTTATATTGGTTTCTTATACTATTTTCAATTTTAATCGTATACTTTAATTTTAATTATTATTTTATTTTCGTATGATCATAGGGAATGCAAATACAGTATTACATATACCATATAGTATAGATATTAAAAATTGTGTTAATCTTAAATCAGTAAAATTAAATGAATAGTTTAAAAAAAATGGTAACAATATGTCAGTTAATTATAATTTAAATTAATTTTTTCATCGTTGATGTTAAATGTTCACGTTCAGTCTATCTAGCCATAGTACTGCCTCGTCCATTGCTGCATGTAGATCTTCAAGAGTTCCAGTGAACCTCCTATTTCCGCATTCGCTGATTATGTGATGCATTATCTGGGCCTCCGCTCCGCGGTAACATCTTGGACCCTCTTTTAAGCGCCACTTGTACATCGGCCCTGGCCTGTATGTATTCGGTTCAGTCTAGTCCATAATCTGCGAAAAGGGACGAATCTGATTGTTCTGAGTAGATATTTTTGACTAAATTCCCGTTAATAGGGAGATTGCTTTTCCATTCTTCTTGCCACATAGAGGGTTTTAGACGAAGTTCTGCTTTTATTGATTTCACTCATTCTAAAGACGGATATCGTTATTTGAGTCTCGGATTCTCGACTCCATATTCATGGATTGATAGGTTTGTGTTACACGAAATTGTTTCAGCAATCCTCAGTATAGCGTTTTGTCTTCTGATATGTGGAGGTTCAATGTTAGCTTTAATTAAAATTAAAATTTATTTTAAGTTTTTAATTTAATTTAAAAATGTTAGTTTTAATAATTTTTATCTATACTATTTCGACATTAAACGCTTTGGAATTTAAGTTTAACAAGCAACAATATTGAATATTATTTTTTCGTATAGAACTTGTACGTACGCGAGAACGGCTGCGCGTCGCTGTAACGTTACTTTTGAGCTATTACAGCCGTTTCCTTTAAGGTACGTTTTCCAAGGCGCGACATATCGTCGCGACACGTTGTCAATATCTGTTTGCACAAAAATAGTATCAAATGTTTTGCAAGACGCGACAGGTCGCGACAACTGAACTTTGGGTCACCGCGACCGACGACACTACTGCCCCGGGAGCAGTGTTACGTGATAAGTCGCCGCGACACATCACAACGACTATTGAAACAATAATAAAAATGAAATAATATTGTTAATAGGAGGCGCTTTTTCCGGTTCATATTCATAAAATGGATTTTTATTTTCTCCAGATATCCTTTTCTAAGAATATTATTATTTTTTAAGTATCTATTAATTAATATTTCGTAAAAACCTTCAGTATCACGATATTTAACATATTAAACATAACTGTTTTCTTTTTTTTTTGACTTTAGATGGAAAAATATAAAATCTTCTTCATCTAATAACAATGTCAAATTATTATTATTATTATTATTGTATATTTCAATAAATGGATCCATAATAATTTAAACAAAACTGTATTAACTAAAATTATTTGTATAAACTACACGTTACACCTGAACACATCAGTACTTGGACAGGTTTTCAACCGAATTGAGAACATAACTACCAAAATCGCAGCGACATGTCGCATCTAGTAAAACACAAGTCTTGGTCGTCGGTTGCGGCGACATGTCGCGCCTTGGAAAACATACCTTAAGCGTTGCGCTATCACCGCTCAAGCGTTATGATCGACAGAGGCCGGTAGCCACCATCGCTTAGGATTGTACGTGCGAGGTGAGTTCACGTACACATGTGTAAGCTAGTAAAATAGTGTGAATAGCGTAAAATAGCGCATGCGTAGACAAAAGAGTTGGAGGCGACTAAAATCAACTGCACAGTTGTACCATAAACGTTGACCGCCGCCCGCCGGGTACGTATTATGTTACATATTATGTACTACATAAATTTGAAACCCTAATTTTAGTTTTTATAAAAGTGTTTATTCCCGTGCTATGAGACTAACAATAATACCTCGTTGTTGATATGATTGCCTATACCAATTATCACAATATAAAATACTCCTGTAACAATGCTAATTCAAAGGAACTTGAAAAAAATTTAATCCAACAAGGAATGAAATTTAATTCCATATTAATAATATGGCGAAAAATACTTGAAATTAATTGATCCGTTTCAATTCAAATAATATGAGTTAATTAGAATATTTAATACAATGCACCATAGTTTTAACCACACCTCAAAATCTGACATACCTATTTTAACAACGTCCATTTATACATATAAATATATATATATATATCTGTGTTAGTATGGATAGGTACACGAAACGCAAGTAATTTTTAACTCAATCTCTTTTAACTATCTAAACCACTGCAGTAAATAATAAATAATAATAATAATAAATGGTATTTTAAAACTAATTATTTTAATAATACATCTATATGTTTTACTATTCACTGTTACATATAGTATTCCAAATTTAAATTGATTTTATTTCTTCTTTGCAAGTACAGAGGTAGAGTTTTTTCCGCTACGTTTACCTACATTCAACTGTGTGAGTATTAAATATTTTATTTATGTTATTGTATATTAGACTGTCTGATATGTTGTTCAAGCTTTAATTTATTAAAATCCGGCCATGTACGAGTTTTACACTTGCATACCCAGGGTTCCGAATAAATATTTACGGTTTTCAGATTTTTGCCTATAGAAAGATGTGGTATAAAATATATGTACCTAGTTTTTGAAATGTTCGATAGTTTCTTTTGTAACTCTAACTTTTATCATCACAATTTTTTTTTATGTTAGCATCAAAAATTAAAAGAATAAAAGAAATTGGGGCGGAATAAGATAGTTATAAAAATATAAGTATCAATAAGTAGGTTCAATTACCTACTTAAAATTAGTGTTTACACTAAGGCATTGTTTCTCAACCTTTTTAGTGTCATAACCCCCAAAATAGGTATAAAATATTGTCAATCACTTCGCGACCCCCCCACCTTCATCTATATTAGGTAAAATTTGATTTGAATTTATATTTTGTAAATCAGCGGTTTATTATTTTTGACCTACGTGATCTCAATTCAAGGTGTTCATGACCCTCTTGGGGGTCACGACCCCCTGGTTGAGAAACACTGCACTAAGGTAATATATCTAGGAAGGGGGATACAGCCCTCCTATCAAAACTTTTTGTAATCTTTAGATCACCTCTACTCTTATATACCATATTAATATAGGTATTTTAGTCGGATTTTCTGCAATATAACACTACTGTGAATTAAGTATGCTGTTTGCAGTATGCCATGTATAACATGGAATATTTATGGGGGAGAGGCTAATCCCCCTAGCCAACTCCCCATAGTTGCACCTATGCCTTTGTACCTGTTATATCAATGGTTAAAGTAAGAATTTTGTATTAATATACGTGATTGTAAAACAAATACATTTTTTTTTTTTAATTTAACTTGTATAATTCAAAATAATGATGTCTGTTTTTGCCGAAAAGTTCTCTAGAATTAATGTATATAATGTATAGTATACATTAAATTGAAATACCTAATTAAGGGGGCGACAATATTGTCTTCCGCTCCGGGCAGCTGATATCCACGCTACGCCACTGTTACAATAGCTGATACTTATATATTATTTTTCTGTACAACTTTGATATAATTTAGGTTCGTACTTGATTGATCGAAAACAATATACAACATAAATTTAGAATCCATAGTTATAAAAGTAATAAACCAATAAACTAATAACTAATATCTAATCTTATAAAATATATTTACTCTTTGAAATAATCCTAATTTTGTTTTATATGCTCTACGAGTACTATAGTATACTAAAACGCTTTATCTCTTTTACGAAAATAATAACATAAAAAGTTATTTCACCAAACATAAAAATATAATTAAAATATGAATATTTAATGTAATATTTATCTCTGAGAGTCGTATAGAAAAACGGACTTTTAATTATTTTCGCTATCCCATTATCATAAGAGATATGTGCATATCTTCGTAGTACACTCAGTATAAGTATTATTGGTATAATTACAAATTTTTACTTAATAAACTTTGAGTTTGATACTTGGGTGTGTAGTGTAACTTTTAAACCATAAATAATTTGTACAGTATTAGTCAAGTTTGTGTATTAATTAATCCTTTAATAAAATATTTTAAAAACGAAAAATACAATTAACAGTTTTATTCATTTTGAATTAATTGTATTCTATAAATGTTACCTACATCATTTATCAATTACCAGACGAGAAATTGCTGAAATCAAAATAACCAATTATTCTAATATATGAAGAAATAAGTGTATTCATACTACTCAATACCCATAAAAATAAGTTTGATAAAAGGTTTAAATATCGATTTAAGTACCTACTGATTTTTTCGAATACAATTATTGTTTATATTTTAAAATCGGTTGTCCACTCATTATAAAATATTACTATACTAATTTATTTTGTTTAAAATGTTTATTTCAACTTACATAATGTATTGAACATTATTATTATTATTATCAACACCTATTTATGGTTAGATATTTTTAAAGTAAAAACGTTTTACTACCAACAAAACATTGAAAAAATGAAGTGTATGGTTTATAATAAGTTTTATAAGAATTGTTGAATAAAATGCTGTTTGAAATTAATTTTTCAAAATATTTGGAAGAATCAATGCTTCAGTTCGATATGTCATGACATCATACTCTGGAATCGCTAATGAGATATCATTTATGTTATCTATTTTTGTTCGGATCATTTTTACTAGAGTTCCGTTAACTAATTTTAAATTGAATCAGAATTAAAAAATGTACTTGGACTGATTTCTCAGCAATATAATTTTGTGTGATAACCATTAAAAGACTAAAGATAAGCAGACACGATATGATTGCATTTTACTATATTTTTATTAATAGGTCCTCTACTACAACTCATTCAATATTCATTTGAATGTAAACGGATCACATAATTTACGACAAACCTATTTGATTGTACACATTTGCGTTGACTGTTGGAATAGTTGTTTGTGTGATTTGTATCCTTTCAAAATCTGTTTTTACAAAAAAACATGAGCAAAAAAAATGTTTTAGAAAAAAAAAAGTAATAAAGGTACGCTTCAGTAACGGACGATTGGTGGGTACATATTATAATTTATACGCGGCCACTCGGTATTCCTGAACCCTCTCCCCTTCCATCAACGAAATTCGAACGATATCCGTATCAGGTACAACAATTAATGGTACGCCGTATTGTTTTCGGTGGATCGACCGGTATTGCCACGTCGTGTCATTATAAGTATGTACAATTATGCATAGTAAAGTGTACCTAATACTCAACCACGGCTTGAGTACAACAGTGAACGTGCGTGGTTCTGTTGCAATACCGAGGTGCCGATTAACAGTACGCATAAGTTGATAATTTTTTTTTTTTTTTTTTTTTTTTTTATAATCAAACGAAACAATAGAGAAAAAACGTGCAAAAAAAATAAATAATACGATCACCACAGCTGTGCACAATTACGACGTACCACAGGTGTCTTTCGCAATTAGTGTGTTTTTTTAAAATTTTTTTTTTTTCATTTTTCGTTGTTTTTCGGTCGGCGTGTTCACGTCTTGGCCGCACTGGTGGCCCCTCCGCGCACGGAACGCGAACAGCTCGACTCGCAGAACGCGTCAGATAGATCCGGCGGAAAGAAGGGCTCACGCGGACGCTTTTTTTCCTCGACAGCGGTGGCGGCAGCGGCGGCGGCAGCGGCGGTGGCGGCGGAGACGGAGCAGCTGCTGCAGCCGGTGCAGTAGTCCACAGGTACGCGACGCGTTTGGGTGGCTGCATGTGTTGTGTGTTCGTGCACGCGCGTACGTTATTCGCCCGCCGACGATCGATACCGGTTGTGTGACTGACTGCGTGACGACACGTTTACCGTCTTGTCCGACCTTCTCGATCGCGTTCGGTTATGTCGTCCGTGTCCCTCGTCGACGTTTGACCCGCGGTCCATGTGCAATCCCTCCGCGCGCGAAATCCGTCCGCGACAACGTCCCTACGTGCTGAACCCTATCGCGTCCGTCACGCGATCGGCGTCGTAGCATTAGGTGTGCCGCCGGTACGGACAAGCGGACACGCAGCGCCCGTGCCCGTTGTCCGCGCAGTACGCGCGCGTTCGCCAACAGGAATCTCTGCAGATCGACGCGCGGACGGACCACGGTTTGGACGGAGCAGCACTACCGAGGCGTTCCGTCACATGGTAAGCGAACACCGTCATCGGTAGAGAAACTATGATCGGGAAAAGAGAAGAAAAAAAAATAATTAACTTCGTTCGAAATCGATTATTGTGCGTTGCTGCACGTTTGGGGCCCGCACGTGCGGGGCCCGCGAACGTACGTTGGAAAACGAGTTTTTGTGTTTTTCGTTTAGTAATTTTTCCGCTGCCGATTAAATTTTACGACGTGTGCTGCCGCCTTATACTGATAGGTAGTAAATTTATGATTGTCGTTTTTTTTTTTTCGTAACCAGTAGAAAATTAAAGCGGTCCCCGGACGTGTTGCTGATCCGGATCATCGTCGACTCGCACGCGCGCAAATTATCGTTCGCTTTCGGAGCAAACGAGTAGTGATTGTAATTGTATACATTGCGCTTAGCGGTTAGGTTATAAATACATGGTACTCGGGAGTGATATTTCCGCGCAGACGGATACGGTTTGAGTTTGTGTTTCAATCGTTGTAGATCGAATAAAAAAATCATAAAGTTTAGCCAAAATTAATCGAATGAAATTGAATTTAGAATGAACAAAATATAACAAAAGGTATTTAAATGTATATAAATATTTTCCATAATCCATGGATAAAGTGTATAATTAAACAATTAATTAAAATATTAATATTTTATCATGTGGAAATATTTTGAAAACAATTTGATTTATTACAAACAGATCCAATTATGGACATAATATATTATGAAAAATAAGCTCTAGCTATTCTTATTTTACTTTATTTTTTATGTTTATAGGAACATTTTTTCTCAGTAGTTACTACAGAGTATACCTATATAATTAAAAAGTGAGTTTAAATAAAACGAATTCAAATTTTTACATTTCAAAAACGATATCCATATTTTTAATGAAGAATTTGATAATATATTTTTAACAATGCATTGGTTAAAAAATTAACAATTTTATTTTACTAAGTTAAATAATTTTAAATTTGTTTTGTTTTTTAACTTCATGAATATTGAAATATTTAGAAATTCTGAGTCAAAGTGTATGGTTAATTCAATTTATGATAAATGTAATTTCTGTATGTTATTCTCATTTAACGATTAATGACTTATTTTTGTCAGTCAACTAAAATACTTATACGATGAATACCACTTGTTTATACATAGAAAATATTTATAAAAAAAAAATGTATACGTACCTATATATATCTGGTAACACATTAATTTTAACTACCACAATGTTGCATAATTAATTGTACTTTAAAATAACATATTTGTACATAGTAATGATTATTATTAGGTGTAGGACATGGGTATTTAAATTTCAAATTTTTCAAATGTTATTAAATAATATTGTAAATATTTCAGTTTTAAATCCTTTCATAAGACCATCCTAATACAATATTTGATATATCAAAGTATTGAACTTTGTAATTGAAAGGTAAAACGATTTAAATGTGTTGTTATCATGTATATAAATAACCCTAACTATAGTAATTTGATTGTTTTATACTTCAATATAAGAAATATACATACTAATGACAAAGTACTTTTTTGAAATTATTAAGCCTTGTCATTCCAAAGTATTAGGCACTTACAATACTAATTCATTTTATAGTTTATACCATATTGATTGCTATCTAAGTCTTCCGGATTATAAATGGTTGATTATTTTCATAATTTATATTTTACACTTGGTTTTAGATTTCATCACAGAAAGCACATAAATTATGCATATTATTTTTGATTCTATAATGTAACAAAACTATTGAAAGGATAGTAAAGTATAGATTTTAAATAACTTTTAATACAAAAGTTTGTCAACAATTGTGCGCTCAACAATTTTTAGTTCCGCTCAATACAAATGTATTAAATGAAAGACGTAGCTGATTTTTACGAGTAAAAACAAATATAATTTCATTTGTTTCTTTTCCGTATCTATATACTTCAATTGTTACTATTTAGAATATGGTTCATTTGTCATAGAAACCACATAGACTTTCAAAGATATTATCTTAATATTCTTAACTGTCAAGTGGTAAAATTTGTACATCTATAAATATTACAAAACCATTTTTCATTACTATACTTTAATTTGCGGTTGGAATTAACAAATGAACAATGGATAGCTACATACACCTATATTTAATGTATTAAGAAAAATACAAATACACTTTGAACATAAATTTAACCAATTTTAAATTTTATTTTACATAAAATTAATCAATTTATTTAGATCATACAAATTGATTAACATTTGAATATATGTAGGTATTTACGCGTTTAAATTAATTATTCAATTATTATTGATTAATTGGATTATTAATTCAATATTTTTTCAAAATTAGGCTTTGGTATAGAAATTACTCAATTGGTATCAAAAAGATGCAGTCGACAGGATTTAGTTATTTTATTAGGACTCAACTTTCCCAATACATGAGAAGCCATACAATAAAAATAATACACTATAATCATTATTTATTATCTAATTAGGTACCTTTAACCTATATACTGTTATTATACTACTCAGTAGTATTAAATACTACTATTAGTTTTTCATAAGACATTTAATTAATGATAATTTTATTTTATTTTATATTTTTATTTAATATTATTGAGACAATGAAACGTATTGCTTATAAGTTATTAATGTTAAAATATTAATCAAATGTTATTTTAGTGAAATGCATTAAATCTATTTAAAAATTACCTAAAACTTTAATGAACTTCGTGTTGCTTGAAAATAAATTGTAATCATTATTAAATTGTTAAATAAAAATAAAAATTTCCAAGATTTAAATCTTTGGAACGTTTAATTTAGTAATAATGTTTTTATATATATTTTATATGTACATTATATTTCGTATGACAGCAATTTTGGTACAACATAACGACATAACATATTCTACGTGGTAAACAGGACATTTAACATATTTAATTTAATAATTTTCTTACAAAGACGAAAGAGAAGAATAAGAATTTTCTAATGCAATATCATGGTATTTTTAATATGAGATTTTTATTAAATTTTACTTATGTTTATCTAGATAATTATTATACTATAGTGAATAAGAAAAAACTGTTTAAAAATTACAAAAAAACTAAAAAAATCAAAAATCTAGTAATTGTAAAAATATATAAAATATTTTGTTACGTTTAAAATGTATCTATAATTATAATATTTTTTGTTATATTGTTTTAAATTGTTAATTTAAAAGACAATAAAAATAATATTTTAATAAGAAATAATACTTTTTTAATAATTTTCTCAACAGTTTACTTCATACATTTTTATTGTTCATCGATAATATGATTGCAAGCTTATTCTATGTGTGGGCTTTAAGTCCATGTACATTGTCCACAACATTTTTCAACACTTTTTTTTTAATTCTTTTATCTCTAGGTTAAGGTTGTTTTACGTTTTACATTCTTGTATCAATTATGCTCATTTGCCTATAATTTCCAATAAATTGTATAACAATTACGCTTATATTAGGAAGGAGGGATATTTGTGAGTGATATATAAAATAAAATATATAGACTTTATCGTAATTTGAAGTATTAAAAAGTTCAAAGGAAATTCCGCCCTTGGCTTGAATAAAATATGTTATTAATTTTATATTTTAACTAAGAAAAAAAATTAAAATATCTTTTACAACCATGCAATATCATCATCAATACTTACAAATTCAGACATTATTAATATATAACCAACTCTTATTTATTTATAAAATATAAACAAGAATGTGAATCAATTCAACTCATTCTTTTACATTGTAAGCATTTTAAAGTTTGACAAAACTGACAATATATTTGAAATATTGTTGATTTTGTACTAGTATTTTTTTGTTGTATTATACTAATATTTTTTATTGTATCATTATTTTAACCATTTTTCTTTCTAAAATCATGAATTTAGATGAAATATTTCAAAACTTTGGTGAGTCTATAAATAAAATATTTACATGCAAGTTTACTTACGAGTTATATGAATAAATAATAAATAAATTTGTTTTGTAGAATTAATATAATATTGAATTTAAATATATAATATATAATTGAATAGCAAATAATACATTAGTTGAAAATAAGTTTAAAAAAATCAAAATAACCAAAATAATAAATTTTTTGTCAAGGACTTAGAATATTATACGATTACTTATATGTTACAAAAACATTTTTTATATTTTTTGTTAACTTTACATTTTAATCAATAGATTTATTTATTACATCATAAAATAAAATTTAATTATTAATTATTATTTTTGTAATACTATTTACTTACGACATAACTAATGTAGTTAAACTTAAATTTTATTATAGGTAAACTGGGACTTGTAATTTATATTCATTATGATTATAAATATAATAATTTTTACTATTGTTTAATTTATTTATTTTTGAGTAGTTTTTAAACTGTACCATTTCTATTGTGAATTGAGATATTACAACTTCGATTTTTTGCATTGGTATTCAAAAGTATAATATAATTTAGTAGTAATTAAATATTAACTGCATCGAAATATCAAATATAATTAACTCGTTTAATATTTTAAAATTCAATATTTTGTCTTTATGTTTAATATGGTGACGTTTATTTTTTAAATATTTTCTTTATCTAGTTTTATTAAACATAATCAATTTTTAATTGCCATACATTTTATTTTCTCTAAACTGATGAACTTCATTCATACCTTTATTTACGATTTGAACTACATAGCTACGAACAACTATGATAAAATATATTTTTACGCATAAGCAAGTTGGTTGATAAAACGAATGTTATTATAGTTTGATTATATTTGTTTTAATAATTGCTACATCACTAGCAAATTTTGTATTAAATGCATATTTTAAACATTTTACAATAACTGCAGAAAACATATTTTATAATAAACTTAGTAATATTGATAACAAACACTTTAAGATGAATATTTATAGCAAAATTTCCCAACATCACATTTTAAAAATATTAATATAACTTCTAAATATCAATGCCTACGTCACGTAAGCACTCGATGCCAGTTTACGTTATGGCTTATTCCGTTGCATATGTATTGTGTTATTAACTTATTCAACAAAAGTATAATAAAATTCACTCACACGTAGCTATGTGTGTAGAAGTATAATTTCTAGAAAATTACTTATATAACATTTAAGCTTGTGTCAGGTCTTAAATTAGGATACACACGTGTGTATACAAATTGACTTTAGAGATGATCCAAGATATTAGTAATAATTTAAAAACAATAATGTTTTTTTTTCGCTTGGGTCAGAATACATTTGTATATTAACTTATATTTTTTTCTTCAATATAGGTACGTTTGAAAATCAGTAAATAATTCAGGAAATACAAAAAATTTAAAATTCCTCGTTTTAAAAATAACAAATCCAAACTGAACCATGATGAAACAATATTTGAAAAAAATTTTAAAGTAGGCAAATAATTATTTTGTTTTTAAATATATCCAATAATTATAATAAAGCTACATAATGATTGAAAATTTGAGTTCTAAGTTGTAATATAAATTGTTAAACGGGTCCCATCTATACTATACTACTACTCTTAAATAAGAATATTCGTAAATTTCACAATTTAATTTTATATATCAAAAAAACATAATTTAATGTCAATAATATCATTTTTCCAAACTAATTCTTTATTTTATGTATAGAAAATTTAATATGCCCGGACAACTCTCTGTGTGGCCCGTATGCCTTTTCAGTGTCAGTAAACCAGAAATTGGACGAATCAAGAATTCTCATTCTTCCTCAAAAAGGTATTTTTCAATTTATGTCATTAACTCATTGTTTTTGAAAATTCATTTTTATTTAAATCATCAATATAGATTAATGCTAATGCTTGGAAACCAATATAAATTATATTATTTGGGCTTTTTAAACAGTGCATGGTGTTTAAAAAATTAAAATGTATCAAAATACTAAAGTAAAACAATGCAGTAGTTACAATACTGAATTTTATACGCTTGATTAACTATCAAAATTTATTATTTCAATGTTATATAGAATCATTAAAATTCATGATTTTAGTTTTATAATTTACTTATAAGATAGGAAATATTTTCCTTTTTTTTTAAAGAGAACATAAAATGGTAGTATCAGTTATTCTTTTTTAAACTAATGAAAATTTAAGATCTAAGTGGTTCAAGTGGTGGATAATATATAAAATATTTAAGAGTAGAAACAATTTTTTAAGACAAATTACTTAAAAAAATTAAATTGTCTTTAAATTAAATAATTTGCTTGTACCTCAAATGTAATTGTAATTGTAATAAAACATCTAGATCTGATAACAAATGAACAAATTCTAAGTTTATAATTAATTAATGATTTGGGACGAAGGTAAAAGAAATTAATAACAAGATTGATGTCTAAAATGAATTCATGTTATTTTAGCTTTAAAATTATAAAATAAAAATATTAAGTGTTGCAGATATTTGAATTTTTATATACTGTAATTTTGAGTTGTTTCTTTCTGATATTTTTTTCTTAAATTATAGTTTGGTTCGTTTTTTAGAACAATATTAGTTATATTATTTATCTAGTAGCTGGTTAATGTATTAATGAAAAACACAAATTAAACATCATATCTAAAGAGTAATAATTTATGTATACGTATAATAGAATGCATCTATACCTAATTCTTCGAATTCGAACACATAATATTATATCCTATCGTTCCTACCATTTTTCTTTACATTTTACTTAATGTTTTATTTTTATCAACTTCACGCTTGAAGCAAAACATGATTTCAATGCAAATTTGAGTAGAATATTAAACACTATTCAACAGGCAAACGAGTATATAAATACAGAATATGCTAACGCATCCCGAGTATAAATCGTTTAAATTTGACATTACACAAAGTAATAAGTCTCATGAGTTAAGTTTACAGTTATCTCAAAGAGCACTGTGCAACAACAACCATTACACAGACTATACGATTAAAACATAAGCCAGATTTATTTGACTAATGATAGGTAAATGTATACCATACACCTTACATAAAAAACGTATGTTGGCACAATAATATCTAATCCCAGTTTTAATCTTGTACTTTTTGTGTTTTAGTAAAAGTAGTTTTTAGTAATTGACTGATATATTTTAAACTTAAATTGCCCATATTCATATGCCAAATTTGTGGTCATGATCTTAATGTTAAATAATATGGAATTTATAGGGTTATAATGTATAAGTACATTATTTGTGTATTTTTCTCAGTTCTTCTTCAATAATATAATACTTATATATTATCGAACACCTATTATAAACATTCAATGAATAATTGCATTATAAATTATATGTTATAGTAATATTTAAGTCAAGATAAAAATAGTTGTTGGGAATGTTTAACTTTTTTAATTAACAAAATATATACACAATTTAAAGTAATAAAAACCACCAATTTTGTAAAAATAAGGCATGTTCAAACATAATAGCGCTATTTAGACATTGATAAATGAGTTATTACAATAGCAAATTAACTACAGAGTACATCCAGAGCCGATACAAGGGTGAGAGGCGATCGTGGCATATGCCTCAGACGCCAATGCCAATACATTTTAACTTCATTTTAATTATCAAAATAAAATAAATCCGTTCTTTTGGCTACTTTCATTAATAAATAATCCAATTACTATACTTAAACTGTGACACTAAACCACCTAAAATATTTACATACAAACGTTTATTTTTTATTCGACATTGATTTGTTTATTAAACTTATTAGTTATTGATTAATAATCGGTTTTAATGTGCACTTTTTAATACACATCACTTGTGTAAATAGTAATTTTTCTTTCAACAAAATCCCCGAGGGGCGTATACAATGAAAATTAATCTAATATGTATAGAATGTATTTTTATTTTAAAATTTATAAAAACAAATAAATCAAATAAAATGAAACAATATTTTTATAAAAATAATAAATTACTTAAAATAAATTACTAAATGAGTGATCTAAGGAGGTATATCAAATTAAATTGATTTTTTAATACACCTGTAGTTTGTGTTGAACTTTTGACCGATACAATTAGTTGTTTGTACGAATTACAAAAAAAATAAAAGTTTTTACTTATTTTTTTCATTCATAAATTGTATTTTAAAATTCGATAGAAAAATTAACAATACATCCAAACATAATATTCTCTCTGATTCATTCAAAACTAGAAATTTTTTAGAATATAGAATGACATTTTTTAATTATACATTTTTGTATCATGTTTGATACCTACCTAATTTTTATAAAAACTAGAAACTATAAATGTAATATGTAATAATTTGTGTAAAATGTATATTGTATGTATATAAAGTATATTTTTTATATTTCAAGACATTTTTTTCTTTTTTTGTAACTTTTACAGCACATTCAGGGTCTTCGCTGCTTCCGTTATTTCCCGTCACCTCTCCCTATTTTCACTTTTGTTTAGCTCCGTGACAAATATTTAGTAATAAATTATTATAAATAGTCATATATATATATATATATAAAAGTGCTCTAACTTGGAATTACTGGAGGTTTGTACCTTTCCTCTGGAATTTCTTCCTTTTTTTTATGGGCACTTTTGTGTTTTTCCTAGCACTTATAAATGTATACTAATATATAGATTTAGACATAGAATCAACAGTAGATATTTTTGTTCACAGAAAAGAAAAACATTTAAATTTTAAATTGTACATTTAGAATATAATTTTAATAAAATTATCTTATATTAATTAGTTAATAATTATAAATCTGTAGTTTACAATAATATTAATATTATTGTTATGTTAAATGTATAGTGTATAGTATAGTTTCCAACAGTTGTACAGTTAATTAAAAAAAAAAAATTAGATACATGAACTTTTATTGTTTACAAACAATGGGGTCATATAAAATAATAAGGTGATAAGTATGTATTGCAAAACTAAAGAAAATAGTTAAATAAGTACCCCCACAAAAAAAAAGTGTTCGACTATGGCACTGGTATAGGTATATGTATATATATATAAGTTAATGTCTAATCACGTATCAAAATACAGTAAAACCTCGGTATCTCGAAGTCGTAAGGGACAAAAAAAAAAAAATTCGACATATCGAAACTTCGAGTTAGCGAAGGAATTTAAAACATAAATAAAATTTGAAATGATAATGTTTAATTATTGAGAAAAATGTGTATTTATAATATAGAATGTATTTATACATTGCATACATATTATGTATTAGTATTCGTCATTTGGATAAGTATACATCATTTTCTATGAAAGTAGAAAATCTGTCATTTTTGTTTGTTTTTATTTAGTATTAGAAGTATTTTCAATAAAACTACCTATAATATTAAGTGCAGAAAAAATGTTGTCAGAAACTTCTGACTATTATTGGACGTATCTCCGAAGTTCATGTAAATAGTTTTCAGCTTGGGCACCATATATGTAAGGTTTAATAACAATTTCTTCCTCGTCGACTGCTTCATAGACAGAATTTGTCTTTCTTTTTATTAAACTCATATTGCACAGGTAATGATTTCACGTTATTAAAACATCTAGGCTTTTGATATTTACCAATGACTAAAAGTTTATTTTTTTCTGTGCCAGCCATATTAGCACCTAATAAAACTGTGATTCTTTAGATTTTTTTCCACCACGGCATGGCTTATCTTTGAACATTAAAGTTCTGTCCGGTAAACATTTAAAAAAAAAGACCGAGTTCGTCAAAGTTAAAAATATCTTGCTCGCTATAATTTTGAATTAATCCTGATAAAATGTTGGTCACGTAATCTTCACAATCGATCTCCGATACTGCAGCACTTTTCCTGATTATTGTTTTTGAAATAATTCCATTTCGCATTTTAAATTTATGTAACCAACCTAAACTACCGTGAAACTCAAGTCCAAGTTCTTGAGCAAAATCTCTTGCTTTTTCTTGAATCTGGGGCTCTGATACAGGAAGGTTAAAATCTCTTGCTCTATGAATACACTTTAACATTGCATCCTCAATCTGAGGAAAATTTGAAACTTTCAATTTCTTTCTTTGTAGTGAACACGAATAATCTTCAATATTTTTTACAATTTTATCTTTATTTTTCAAAATTGATGACAAAGTGTTAGCAGGAATATTGAAATCTGCCGCAATATCTTTTTTTCTTTTCATACATTTTTCAACTTCTTTTATAATTTTTAATTTGTTACCAACATTTAAACACTTCAAAGATCGTTTATTTGATACTTTAAAGAAAAAACACACGTCTTAATAAAATATAATACAAAATGTATAGGTAATATAATCACGAACAAGTACAAACAACAGAATTACGACTAAATAAAATCAGAAAAAATAATATCCGTGTAACTTTATTGCCGTTATCGATCACTAGCTAAACTATATAAATATCAACGTTATTACTAAGGTCCGGAATTGTACGCATTTGCATATTTTTATATATTAAACTAAAAAGTAGCTAGATAAGACAGAAACTTGAATCTTGATCTAATGTGTTGGTATGTGAAATTAAATTTGGCATATTTTTGCATACTTGGAGCATTTCAAATTATTATGCATATTTTAGGATTTTTCGAGATATAATGCATATATAGAAAAAAAATATTATAAAGTTATTAATGTTATTTTTTATTATTTAGCGCATGTCCATCGTAAATTCCATGAATCGTGCAGTTATATAATTTGATTTTTGTGTTATAATAAGATAAGATAATGTTTGCTAAAAGTACCAATACGATAGTAACTCTCCAGGTAACTTTTAAAAATTATAAAAATCCGC